CCAAAACATATGCGCGCGGTATGACTGGACGAGTAATACAAAGACGACTAAAAAACGTAATTTAACCTCAAAAAATTCTCGTAAATTTATCGATAATAGGGAAAGCAGAGAAACGAAAACGATCGAGTCGAAAATATAACGAGACAGATTTAGAAATTTCTTTGTCGGAATGACGATGGTGAAATATTTTGATATGATATTACTTTTCAAAAACTATAATTACGAAACCATAATTATTTCGAAAAATGTGAAATATTTATAGGTTATTATTATAAATTCATATATTTTCTATTATTAACTGTTTTAATATTAATTTTATGCTTTTTAACGTTTTCAAAATTATTCGTTTTTACCTAATAATTATTTATGATTACGATATACTATATTTTCGTATCGATAACAATTATTTTACGAATACAATATTTATTCCATATAAAATGATTAATTCCGAAATTTTTTAAATAAAATTTCACTTCTGTTTCACAGGACTATTTGGAAAGTTCTATGGCAAACTAAAAAGCTTCAAGTGAGCATTGTCCAGTTTGATCACCCAGTATAAACTCTAAAATACATCTGGTACACATAAGTGCACACGACAATGCGTAATTTGACAAACAAAATTCTAGTTTCAACTAATGTTCAGGACTCCTACAAAAAAATTATACGTATCCATTTTTAGGTAAAATTATAGACATTTTATGAATTATAATGTTTAAGGAAATATTTTATTCGATATTTTTTCTTCCATTTTATGCAGATTCTCACTCCAACAATGTACATAATACACGAGTCGTGAACTAAATTACAAAAACATAATTGGAATCCCAACAACTTTTGCATTTTGAAGAATGCAGTTTCGAACTCGTGAATCAAAATGTATGAGACGACTCTCACGAAGTATCAATTTTTATTCGATATTCAAATTCTCTGTTTTAAAAATATATTAATGACGTTTCGAAATACTGTTGAAAATTTATTTTATTTGCGAAGGACTAAAAACAAATAAAACCAAAATATTTAACTATGATATTTTACGATAGTTTTAAGCAGCTTTATTTAACAATGCGAATAAATATGAATTTTCAGGAATCAGTACGATATTTTGAACGTAAAAATTACCACAATGTGAACCATTTAATATCGATGATATGAATAATTTGAAAAATGTTAACTGTCTGGGATAAACAGGTAATTGTCTGTATGTCCGATATATTTAATCGATAAATAAATATTTAGTATATAAAAATTGAGAAATAAAATATTTTTCAGGAAATTAAAATTTATTTCTACGAAAACTTATCTTCTTTAATTACAAATCCTTCGTTGTTTGTAAATTTCCAAAAAGATGAAGATAAGAGGTTTCTAACCACTTGCTGCAAGGTAATAATTATCAGACGCACACGAAGTGCATTGTTTCCAGAAACGAAAATGTAATAAAGTGTCCCTAGAGAGTGCAATAACGTGGTATCATGTGCTGCTGTAATACGTACGTAATCCACGATTCTAGAAATTTGGATCTACAAATTCAAAATTATATCTTCAAATGATTAACGACATTTCTCTTTGGAAATTCGAAATCGATTTAACTATTTTCAATTATCTTTTCTATCAATACCAGAAATAGACTTTGTATTTCAGTGTAACTAGATAATGGTATTTCTGCCCGAGTTCAAAAATTGATATTATCATTTCAAATAAATAATACCACGGAAATTAGCGACAAAGTTCGAAATGTTTTCCTTTATTATTTTTATTTACAATATTCATAGAGCAATCTTCTTTATGGCAAAGATCAATAAAAAGTTACAACCTAAGAGAAATTTTCCTTTTCTTTTCAAAATATAAATTTGATGCATTTGAACACAGATCTTTGAATCTTCGTATATAAAAGAACAAACCTTCACTTCCAGAATAAAGAAACGGTACGCCACTGGTAGTTCGCATATCCTCTATATTCTACATCACAATCAACGTGCGTTATAGCTTGAACAATACAAAATCCACGCGTGATAATTATCTCGTGTGACTGGTACATCGTTACTTGGAAAAAGGGATAATAGAATAATACGATAAGCGTATTACATATAATATATATTACGTTTATATGTACAGGATGTTTCATAAGATCTGAATTATTCAAAAAATGAGAATTCACCAACCAGGAAAACGTATTCTGCCCCAACGAAAGGAGTAACCAATAGAAGAATAAATATTTAATGGAGTAAACAATGAAAATGATTTAGAAGTACATGACATACACAGTTAGAAGAAGCTGTTGACGAAGATACGTGAAATAAAAAGAATCGTTTGTCAATTTAAGTCAATTTTTATTTCAAATTGCTACAAAAAATGTTCTATGCGTTTATCTTCCGTTTCAATACAAGTTTGAGATCTCCACAGCGAAAAGAGATACTAGACTTATTAAAAAACTACGCTTTTAAATACATTGTATATGTCGCTTCTGGAAGGCCACCGGAAAGGATAGTTCACTTTTGAAATTCGTCACCGCTGAAATCTCAAACTCAAAAACTACTGAATCGTGTAACTCTTATTGCAAACGTGCAAAGTAGGCCAGAGAGCTCTCATTTTCTAAACATACCGTATCTTAATGAACACCCTACGTATACAGGGTGAGTCTTTTATCAGTCGTCGTCACTCGGTTCTAAATTCTCTTACCGTCAAATAGGACCGCGTGCTTTAAACGGAAGCTGTTCAAAACGATCTCTTCTGAAGCGTCCACGAGGGAAAAAAAAAAAAAAAAAAAAAAAAAATAAAAAGAATTGATAGAAAATTCACCCTATACGTAAAATAGATAATTAACACAAAAACGAAAACAAATAAATACGCTAAATTATATTAAAACATATTCGTCGTTATAAATCGTAGTGTGCGGCATCCTAACTTTTGCTTTGGCATTCTACGCATTTTTTCTTTTCTTTTTCATTTCTTTTCTCTTTCTTTCGCGCGAGGCAAAAATAAACGATTCGTCCGAAAATTTCCGACATCCCTGCGGAAACAACGACGTTGCGCACGTCAAAAAGAAAAAAAAAAAAAAAAAAAAAAAAAAAAAAAATAGGAAGGAGAAGTAGAAGAAGAGATTTCGTACCCCTCTAATTTCCTTTTCTTTCCGTTCCTTCTCCTTCTTTCTCTCATTCGTCGAAGGGATTACAGAGAATGCTAATGAAATTTCCGCTATATTTACCACGAATGTCCCTGTAGTCTTCAAGGAACTGGTATCGTGAACAATACACGTTTTAATGTACATGAACTCGTGTACGTGTACCAGCTTCGGCTGTGTATGTGTGTCTGCGTGTATGTGTATGTGTGTATAGATGAAAATGTGTGCACACGCGCAAAGGGGGAGAACAGAGAGTGAAATGGGGTGGGAGAGAAAACACATGGTAGCAAATCGCGAAGAAGAAAATTTGTTTCGTCGGTATTCATTCTTTTCAGTCTTATAGGTACCTATACTAATCACGATGATGAGAGCAAACCTTGAGTTCCAAGGCTAAGAAATCGCAACGCCACGCGTTCAACGTGCTAGAGAAATAAATTATTACTGCCTTTAGCTTTCGTAGCCATTTCTGTAGTAGCTCTTCCTATATAATTAACACACGAGAAACAAAAGTATCAAAAATCGTACGCTATACCTGAACCTCGCAATATTCTCATTCTTAATCGACCAAATTCGTCGTTTCAATGATCAATCTGATTCTACGCGTTTCCGGCTAAGATCAATGAAACTGGAGTCTAAATGCAAAAATGAAAAGGCACAAACGTGTGATCGGAAAAGTATCCTGAAAATAAAAAATACGACGTAGAAATATTCTCCCTAAAAATCGAACTCCGTGTAAATCGGTCGAAATCGCTGTCGTTGATGGTTTCGTTATCGTTTAAATCCAAGTGCATTCGGACACTCGAAGCGGGAGAAAGTACCATTCGTATGGCTGAACGGTACTTCCAAATGTAAACTCTTATAAAAATGCTCCGCAGCGAGATATATTATTTCTAAATATTACATCCGATTCACCGTCGTTACGTTTGCTATGACACTGTAAGTTAAGGGGGCAGGACAGTGACGCGCTCCAAAAATTTATATATCCTTTGAAATTGTTAACAATTTTTTAAAAGTCGAACGTCAATGTCTAATAAATGTTACGATAAAGATAATCGCGAAATTTCGTAATAATTGGTCCACTGGATCTCGAGATATCTTGCACGCCATTTCGAGAAAAACGCGTTTAAAGTTTCGGAAGGTAATTTTTAAGTTTTTTAATTTTTTAGATTTGTTAAACGATCATCCATTAGGTCTTTTTAATCATTTTTTCGCCGAGTGTGACACATAGTGCAGTAGCTATTGGTCTCACGATTAAATTCATAGTGTTCATATATCATAAGACACTGGAAAAGCCTTTATTAAAAATGATATTAGTAGTAGAAAATATTAGTAGCAATATAAATAACAATTTTCACGTTTGTAATGGCGTTAAATAAACGTTTTTGAGAGCTAAACGCTAAATAGCATTATCAAAATTTCGTTTTAATTTTGGGTCAATCCACCCAAAGCGGAGCAAAAATAGACATATAATGTCGACTCCTCGACTTTCCTGATACCTATATAACCTATAAAATCGGTTCCATGCTGACGGATTGTCACGTCACGTAATATCAAAAATAATTTGTTTTAAAGACTGGGACCTTTCGTGTATTACTTTCAAGATTTCAAACCATTATTTAAGGCGAAAAGAAAAATCGATCTTTCCAAAATTTCGAACCGTCCTGCCCCCTTAATTTAATCAAATCACCGTTAATGATTCACGTAATTTCTCTCGGTGTAAAGAACACTCAAAATCGTCGAATCGAGACACGTACACACGAAAATGTGATTATATAAAATATATATCTTTATATATATATATTTATATATACTAATCGAATCCCTCGCTGTGCATCCGGACAATCGAATTTTCGTAAAAAAAAAAAAAAAAAAGGGAGGAAAAAATGCTTTCATAAGGCACGCGCAGAAATACGATAATCTTAGCGAAAGGATAAAATACATATTCGAAAAATAACGCGACCATTTAGGGGGCCACGAGGTCGTCGACTTGATCCGAAGAACCAGCGTCCTCCGGAATTCTGAAAATTCCTGAACGTACTCTTATTTCTAGTTGTACCGATTGTTTTATTTTTTTTCTTTTTCTTTTCCTTTTTCCACGCAGTCTTTGACAAGGCACTTGTTTTTCGCGCATCATACGAATATATTATTCGACAAAAGCCGCAATGTTCCTAGATGTAGGTGCGTACGAAACGAGAGGAAATCAATTCCGTTTTTCGTTACAGAAGTTACTTTGGTAATGACTAGGTCATGCGCTATCGCTACGCAACGATATACCGTGGTTTCTCGCTATGTCGTGCGATCGGCTTCGCTTTTCCGTTATTAATGGTAGTAAAGGAAACTAACGCATCGTTTTAATATTATGGCTGTGTACACGTATTGCTCGCGCATACGTACATTAGGACTCTAGATAGGATCCGAACCACTGAAGGACGAGGCAGAGACGCTCTTGAAACCGGTCTCACTTTTGATTTTTCCTTCTCTTATTAATCCCCGATCTGCCGCCGCCCATTCTATTCCACGTTTACCGCTCGCTTCCATTCAGTAATTTCACCATTCGATCCTGCTGCGCTGCTCTGACATCCGCTAGAGAGAAATTTTTCATCGTTCGTCGAAAACGCAATAAAAAGAACTTAATATAGTAGAATAAGCATGTGTACCAATGTTTGGTAAAAAAGGTTCTCATACGTGGAAGATAAAGTACGGAAAATTGTATCCCTCCAGTTGCTCGTTATACGCTCCTCTGAGAGAACGTCTCTTGGGAGGACACTCTCTTTAGATAGGGAAGACTAACCCGGTTCCAAGCGATACAAGTTAAAACTGAATGCGGTAATTGCTCGGGCGAGGTATGGATCTCGCTTTGGAAGGAGGCAACGATGACGTGGACGCCTCGCTGCTAGCTGTGCCCCCAGAATCGCGTCCTCCGCTCTTGCTGCTCACCGTGCTTCCGGTGCTCTGACCCCGTGAACCAGTTTGCTTCCTCAACGTGCCCTCACTCAGACGACCGTACTCTCCGATGCGACGAGACGGCGGCGGTATCAGCGAGCGACTCTGCGTTTCCCTGTGCTTCGTTTCCGAATTGCATGGCTGTTTCTTGCGAACATTTTCACCCTGCAGGCGCTCGTACTCGTGGCTCGTGGTAGACGACGGCTTCTTCAGCGAGTTATTCACCACCAACGGCTCCGTGGCAGACGATTTCTTTCGGCGCTGAGCCTTCGTGTCGAATCTACCGTACTCGATGGTGCAGTTGCTCGTATCGCGCACCTTCATGCTCGCAGAGGAGTCCAAAGCTGGACCCGGATCGGACTTCTTGCGAGTCTCCGTGTCGCTGAGTCTGCAGTAACGCGAGCTCGTGGACTTCAGATTCTTCGGTGGCCGCGGTAACGAACTAGGAGGAAGACTGCCCGCGCGACGTGGCTCGCCCTCCTGCATCCTCTGTCTCTGCGAGCTTCTGCCCTGCTTCTCCAGCAGCATCATGTCTTCGGGCTTACCGTCTGATAATCTCGATACAGTGCCTTTCAGCCTCGAGGCTGCACTCGCAAATTCCATGATACCCGGCGAGACCTCGCCACCGGAGTCGTCTAATAGGCGACTCTTGCTTGAGGCGGTGCTCGAGGTACCTGTGCTATCTACACCCGCCAATAATGGCTTGGGTATTTTTCCTTTTCGCGACGCAGTGCCTGGATTAGAGAATCCTGGAAAACAGCAAAGTGCCCGCTGAAACAAGAGAAAAGCACAACCGCGTTGGAAAGGAGACCCGGGACCTGGAAAAGGGGTTAGTGCTCGCCACAACAGCGCATGCACACTCTAGGATCACTCGGGATAGGAACTGGGAGGGTTAGTTTGAATTAAGGAGCGAGGAAGTGTCTTTTTTCTTCTCTTCGAGACTAGTTTAAAAACGTAGCAAAACACGATTAATGTATAGTTAATTGTAAAACGAAAAATCAATGGCACACAAAAATTTGTATTAGTGAAAATACAGTTTACTGAGTTTTTTGATAAAAAAACGAGTAACGAATGCATTCTTTACATATTATCTATGAATATATCATCTTATACCTCATACAGAGTTTGCTTTTTATGCGAAATGGTAATTACTATTTTCCC